GTCAAGGCTTAAATGGAATCTTATCGGTTTAACCTGTTTGGTTTTTGTTGGTTTTTGGGGGTTTTGGGGTTTTTTTTTTGAAAGTACGATATGATAAGTAACAATGTTGTCTGATGCTAGCACATTATTTAAAAGCTAAAGCCTGAGGCATTTACTGTTGCTCTTATAGTTGGTCTGAAACTCACTGAAAGAAGTCCCTTTAACGAGCTCAGCAGAGCGTTCTGATCACATATACAGTCTCCCATAAAAGGCATCTCATCCACCGCTGCATGTTATATTTCTTTTCCTTACATCTCTCCAAATACGCTCTTCTGGTCACTTTGCTCTGATAACAAACCTATGCTGCGGTCTCCTTGTTCTCACTCAAGCCTGCACAGGTGATGTGCTGGTTTCGGCCGCAGCTAAGACCATGTGGTCCTTCACTCATGCCCCCTGACCCACTGAGATAGGGAGAGAAACACAACAAAGGGCTCATGGATTGAAATGAGGACAGGGACAGCTCACTCACCAATTATGGTCAAGGACAAAACAGACTCGACTTGGAGAAGAAAAGTCAATTTGTTACCAATCAATCAGAGTAGCACAGCGAGACATAACAACCACATCTTACAACACCTTCCCCTCAACCCCTCCCTTCTTCCCGGGCTCAAATCACTTTGCTCCTCATTTCTCTACCTTCTCCCTGCAGTGACACAGGGGACAGGGAGTGGGGGTTGCAGTCAGTTTGTCTCTGCTGCTCTTTCCAGCGTGAGATCCCTCCTGCAGAATAAAAATGTTCAGGAACAAAGTGTTCCAAATCACGCTTCCCATGGAGTCTCAGGTGTCTTTGGGCACAGCTCCCAGCTCTGGCATGGGGATGTCCCTGGGCTGCAGACACGTCCAGCTCACTCCTCCCCCTGCTCTCTCATTGAGCGTCTCTGGGGGGTCTCCTTGCTCATCACAAACACTTGAAGTCACAATTGCTCTCAGTCACAGCTTCATGCTCTGGTGTGGAGTCCTCCATGGCCTACATGTGGGTATCAGCTCTGCCATTGAACCTCCATGGCTGCAGAGGACTCCATTTACCTTCCCCATACTTTTCTCATTGCTGATCTAGGTGTCTGAGGTTCTCTGTCTCCCCTCCTCCTAGTTCATGTCAAAGATGCTTAGTTTTTTGGTTTTTGTTTTTTTTTTTTTAATCAGGTCCATTGTTCTCCTGATGGCTTTTGCCTTCCTTGTCAAACCAGTTCTTCCCCTCATAAATATGGATTCAAAGAGGCATTTCCTTATTGCTGATTGGCTTAGCCTGGGCTGGAGGCAGGTCCACCTTGGAGCCAGGGGAGCTTTGCAAAGCTTCTCACAGGGGCCATCACTATAGTCCCTTCCCCCACTACCAAAATGCCCATCCCCACCCCCTGCTCCCACCCCAACACAGGTGAACACTGTATCAAGAACTAAATGGTTTTGTTATCCAGAAGCAGCAGTGAGATGGGACCGAGATGGCAGTAAGGTAGGGAGGTACATTAATAGAAAGTCAGGAAGTATCTTCAGCCCATTTTTTAAGTGTTTCCTTAGATGAGAGCAATAGAGAGATAAATTTTACCTTCTGATACTACGTCAGTGGTATGTAGAGTCCTCAACCCAACAGAAGTGACAGGAGGGTGCCTCCAATCGCAGCAAGTTTTCACAGGGATTGTTAACGTGGTTGTCTGAACTAGCAGCTACTGCTGCTGTCCTGACACTCTGGCATTCTCACACGTTGAAATGGCTGGCACAGCCATTGCTTTGCTCTAATTGTCCTTGTTTAGAGTTCTGCAGATTTAGATCAGCTCAACCTGTACTTTATATGCTCTTACTAAAGCTGTTTCCAGTATTATTGCTAGTTATAGTGCATTTCAAATTGATTAAAAGCTGGATAGCAGTATATAAATAGTTAGCCATTAAGATTTTTCTTCTAGTGAGGATGTTTCTACGGATGTTTTCCATTTGATATTCTTACCATAATGTTTCAGTATCCTTTATAATGAGTAACACAATAACGCGTAGCACTTTCAGAGGGTGCAGGATCCAAAAGCTGAAGCCAAATAAATTCATGCCACAAATGTCTTTCCAAACTACTCACCATTAAACTGGGAGTCATGATTCTGTTCTGGATTAGGCGTTGAAGCTTGTCTGTGCTGTAGAGGAACTCCTTTTAGATGACTCCCTATAGGTAGTTCAATCTGGCCTTGACCCATCTGAAGTAGTAACTTAAAAATCTAAAAGTTCAGCATGGATTTTTGATGCGTATTTGTAGGTGCAACTCAGGTAGTTTACATGTACCTGGGCCAAGACAGAGCTTTTAGATCTCTTCAGTGTTTCTTTTTCCCCAATTACCATAGACTCCACCTGTATTGTACCTCTTACTTATACTATGCCTTCCTATTTTGACTTGGTCCTTTATTCAAGGTCAGAGTGTTATCTGAATTTTACTGCTAAATTTCTGTATATTTTCTCAAAGACTGTCTCTTGTCAGTATCTTGGCTAAAAATCATTCAAGCCATATTGCCTCTATTACTTCACAATTCTATCAAGTCATATTCTGATGTATCCTCTCTTTCAGTTTAGACATATCCCATCTTACAGTTTATTTAGAGTACCTCTGTGAAAGTTCTTTTTCCTCGCTCATTGCTTTCAGATCTACCTCCATCTCTCCATACTCAACTGCATCAAATACAATTAGATGTCATCTTTAATATTCTTTTCTGGTTTATTTCATGTCTCACTAGTAATCTCCTCAAATATTAAGATACTGATCTTTTCCCACCTCTCTATGAAAAATGAGGATGTTCTTGATTGCTTATTTTCCGGCTACTTTTCATCTTGCTTCTCCAGCGAGCGTCTCTTCTGTTGTCCTCCCATAGACTTTACAAAAGAAAAGAGAAATCCTTTTTTATAAATCCAACAGAGCTGTCTTGTAGTCCTTCTTAAAGCTCTGATTTCTCTTGATTACAGAATATTGGTCAGGTAGTTGATAATAATGTTTCTGTAGTATGTCTATGTTGCATAAGTTATTTTGGAGCACAGTAGCTCTTTTTGTTACCTGCCTGTGCAGTGCTTCAAACTGATGAATTATGTTATCTTCAAATTAAGAAGATACTTTTACAGAAATGTAGTGATACTGACAATGAGTTAATTAAAATGTATTCTAGCAACTGCCTGCTAGACAGTTGTGATAGGATCTATATGCCTCCTTGGAAGAGTTGCTTCCTGTAGGTATAGGAGGAACTTTCTCCCAGTTGTTCATTTAACTAATAACCATTAGGTTCTGAATAAGGCTGTTACAGATTTATGTTCCAAAAGTAAATAGAGGCAACACTAGAAATAAAAAAGAATTCATTCTGTCAGTAATTTCTATGAGTAATCAGACTTGAGAGGGAAGATTAAGCCTATAATTATTTTTCTTATGCATTATCAATGAAGGAAAAGCTACAGGAAGCTGCGTATATGTGGTTTTGCATAGAGAATGTTGTAAAAGAATAGGAACTCTGTCTGCACTATATATATTATTAAAAAGAGATTGGAAGTCTGTAAAAGTTAAAAGACTTGTGTGAGGATGGGGGGAGTTGTCTCTTGATTTTTAGCTATAAAATACAAAGTATGGTGTAAAGACTGTTTTAGAAAGCACTTGAAATCTCTAATATCAGTGGAGGGAGGTGGGAGGAGAATTTATATCCTTCTTTAGTAGGAACCTAAGCACTATTTCTGGAAAGCATGGGAGGAAAGAAATGAAAATAATGTTTTCTTTTCGTGTTCAAATCTTAATGAAATTTATAAAGTGAACAAGTAAAGAATAAATGGTAAGTTAATATATTTTTACAATGTAAAACTTTTTTAATACAAAGAGATGGGTGGAGTAAGAAAATTTCAGTCTTTATCATTCTTTGAGATAAATCAGACTTCGTAACTATTTGCAATTGATCCTGCTATCTTAGGTTTTCAAGATTAAAGCAGTGCAACTGGCAGGAAAACTTCTTCCAGCCTTCAACACACCTACAGGTATACCATGGGCAATGGTGAATCTGAAAAGGTAATGAATTTTCTTTTTTTTTTCTTTTTTTTTTTTTTTTTTTTTTCCCCCCCCCCCTTTCAACTGAAAATTGTAAAAGGA